ATATATATATATATATATATATATATATATATATATATATATATATATGGTTCTTTCGATGATACTAGGTAAAGTGAAGACAATGAGGACAATTTAAGCCCATTATTTTCTTTAATTAAATAATTTTGGTAAATAATAAAACTATATTATCAAAAATAAATTAATAAAGACAAAACTTCAAAAATGGTCCCTGTGGTTTTCGAAAATATCAAGTTTAATCCCTAAGTTCGAAAAACCTCACAGATGGTCTCTGTGGTTTCAAAACTTTTAACATTTGGTCCTTCCGACTCACTCCGTTAGCATTTCACCGTTAACTCATTTTTTAATTTTATATTGCAGGGGTAATTTTGTCATTTCAGTTGTTCAATCTCCATCGCCCTACGCCTCATCACTTCTCCTTCTTTGCTCACCAAAACTCTCCTAATTGCACTCTCGATCTCCCCTCTCTCCACAACCATTTCCAAACCCATCTTCCAGACATAAGTCAAATACCTAGCATTCATCATTTTATTGATACTAAACTGTTGACACGGCATCAGAACCCCTTCGTATACACTTTCCAGGGGCGAATTCCAACCACAATGGCTCCAAAATCCTCCAACTGCAGAATGTGCCAATGCGTCCTTCTGGGGTGCCCACTTTACGATCATACCTCTCACCTTCATCTCGCTTACCAAATCTTCTGACAAAAACTCGATCCATTCACACCCATGAACCGAACCCGGTCGAACCACCCATATGAAGGGCTGGTTACTGTTGGCTATGCCCCATACCATTTCAGTTACTATTTTTGCATCTATGGTTGCTAAGCTTCCTAAGCTTACATAAATTACTGATTTGGGTGATTGTTTATGTGACAACCGTCAAATTCAAGTCAAAGTCAGAGTCAAAGTCAACAAGTCAAACCGGTCAAACTTTACAAGTACTTGTATGTTAAAAAGTTATTTTATGTATAAAAATGTGCATCTTGATGTCAAAAATTCAAGTGTCTCGAAGAATCTATGTGTTAACAATGTAAAAACCCTAAAAAGGGAGTTAAA